TTTTTATTTTTTTGTCAATATTAAAAAAAATTAAAGAAAAAAGTTTATTTATTTTGTTCATTTCTTTATTTATATTTGCTGTTTTTACCCTTTTAATGACAGTTAAGCACATTTTCTCAGCTAATTGTAATTACTGTGACTCATTCGTTGCTTTACTTTCTCTTTACTCATTTAACATCGATTTAGAGTGATTTTATTCAAAACTGCAATCCAACAGGCAATCCAATAAATACCAACACATACTGTTCAATATTAATAGCTCAATATTTATATTTTTAATACGATAATGAGATTTTTAATAATAAATTGTCAAATGTATTATTAGTATTAAATTATTAATATTAATAATGTAATGATAATAATTTAATACTAATAATTATGTATATATATAATTATAAGACTTAAGACTAAGTTTTAATTGTTTAAAAATATAATTTTAATATTATTATTATTTTATTATTATTATTATAACAATATTTTTTATAATTTTGTTAATATATAATTTAATCGTTTTATATCCTATTTTAAGTCTAAAATAGGCTTTATTTTTTATAAGCAATATATAATTTCTTGGGTTTTTTCCTTGATTATTTTGAATAAAATGTCACCCTGATAAGTTGTAACATTTATATAATAATAATAATAATAATAATAATAATACAAACAAAACCGAAATATTTTTAATAATGAAACAATTTTTTTTAGTACATATTACTAATTAAATGAAAACATTTTAATAATATGTTATAATATTTTAAAATTTTTTCATCTATAAATTTTAAGCTATTTAGGCTTCATTTTCTATAAGCAACATATAATTCTTTTTTTTCGGGGATAAAATTTCACCCTGATCAGTTTTTTAAACATTGTGAGATTCATCCACTACGTCACCTTTTCTATTGCACGTTCAAAAAGATCCTGTAGTTGAACCTGTAAATACTCAAAGACATTGGCAGCTCTTCCCTTTTCCAGAGCCAATCTGACAGGACCTCCCGACAAAGTTGTAGGTTCAGCCAACCTTCCCCTAACACAGCTGACTGGGCTTATCAAATGCAGTCTGTTTAGTGTCAAAATTGCAGCAGGTTATTGGACTCCGGGTCAGAATGAGTGAAATCTAATGGAGATCCATCACCACAAGTGGGTTTCGGGAACCACTCCATTTGACCACGTCATGACACTTTACTATCACACTTACTAATCAGTTTGACACGTCGGTGGAGTCGGTAGGGGCCAACTGTAAAATCAATATGTAACAGCATTTCCCATGACTGTAATTATGCAATATACGTCATTTGTGTCAGCTTAATAATGGTAGCCATTCGGCAAACTTGCTCCTTGGATGCCATTTCGTTGGAGCTCAATTTGTAAACCATCAACTGTGTTTATAGATCTCAGTTCTGTGAACAAAAGGAGGGGTGCGTTGGTCCTGTGAAACGTGTGTTGAAATAACAGGACTGGATCCAGGCATGGAGAGCGTCCAGGATTCTGCAGCGGCAGTCAAGCGGGGTCAGTGCTGTGGTCACGTCCCAGAACTGTGGGCTTGATGACCATGATAATAATAATAGTAATAATATCAGTACCGACAAGCAGACGCCATGCCTGGACCAAAGAGGGAGGGAGAGGCACTGATGAATAAAAGAGTGCTTATGCTCTTCTTCTTTTTCTCTGATTTTTCATTTTAGTACTCTAAAAGTTTGGACACGCCTTCACAGTGTTTATTATTGCTGTTTTTCACATTTTAGAATAATAGTAAAGTCATGGAAACTATGAAATAACACAACTGGAAGTATGAGATTATGTAGAGACCAAAATAATACTTCATATTTGAACTACACATAGGCATTTCATCAGCCAACTTCATGAAAATGCATCCATGTATGCTGGACATTTGTTAATGGTGTTTCTTTCATTATCTGCTCCAACATCCATTTAAAATTATAAATTTATATGGAAATTTGTGCATAAAGACTGATTTGTAAACTATCAAAGGTGATAAAACTATCATTTGTTTTAACATCATTGAATTACGTTAATTTTTTTAAAGACAGCATACAGGCCAACAAATACCGATATGTATTATGTGTGTATACGTGTATATATATATATATATATATATATGTGTGTGTGTGTGTGTATATGTGTATATATATATATATATATATATTTACACATATACACATACACATGTACATGTACACATACACACACACATACACATACACATACACATATACATACATATATATATATATATATTAAATTCACACTATAAATACTCAGACATTTGCTGTTCTTCCCTTATATTATTCCATTTCCTCCAACATCGATTTGAAATATAGTTTTATGCAAAAATGTAAAGATAGGACCTGATCTAAAAGAAGCAAATTCAGTTTAGTGTGTCCAAACTTTTGATATGTCTAGATGTCTGTGTAGTTTTTACTGTTTATAGTGTTTAATCAAAATGTTTTGATCATGAAAAGAGGGCATTACATACCAGAGTAGAGTCAGAGAGACTGAAAAGCAATGCCGGTGCAGAGGCAGAGCATCTTAAAACATTTTCACCAAAGATTATAAAGGTATTTTTTACTTGAATAGTACAAGTAAGAACTGATATAGTATGTTTAGTGCCTCATGATAGAGCCTATAAAAATATTTTCTCAAAGCTCTACACATTCCCCACCTGTGTTCACACATAAGATGTTTGTTTGTGAAATATTTTGCCTAACTTGATTATTCAGCTATCAATAAAAGTGTGGTTCTTGCAGGAACAACTCATTTTAATGTTTAAATCAGTTACACAAAATTCCTCAGATTTTCCCCAAATAAAATTTGTGTAAAAATACCATGGGTCTGCTTATGACAGACAGTGTTATTAAATTTAAATTGTAGCACAGGAATCGCTGCAGAGGTGCAGTGCTGATGTAATCTGAGAGGCTGATGGAGTCGCTGCTAAATCAGGATGTGCCACTCCAGCCCACAGCGGAGGTGTTTCTGATGTCCTGACTTTAGATGTTGTCTCTGCACAAAGATCTGTTTTTCACTGGTTTATAGAGGCATTTCTGTTATTCTGTCAACATTGTGAATTCATATTTGGTGCTGGGGGATGTAGGCAGAGGATGAAGGGAGCATTGGCACGTCCACTCTGGGCAGACCACAATGCATTTATTTTTCCTTCTCATTGTGATCTTTATCCATCCATACCCTCATGTCTGTTTTATGTCAGACGTCCCCTCTGAACATAATGTTAAAGGAGTAGTTGACCCAAAAATGAACAATCTGTCATTATTTACTCACCCTCATGTTGCTCCAAACTTGTATGCTGTTATTTCTCCCATTGAGCTCATACACACACATTTTTTTTGTGGTAAATGTTTTTGAAATACACCTCCTTATGCTCACCGAGGCTGCATTTATTTGATCAAAAATATAGAAAAACTATAAAATATTGTGAAATATTGTTACAATTTTATATAACTGGTCTCAACTGGAATATATGTTAAAATTTAATTTATTTCTGTGATGCAAAGCTGAATTTTCAGCATCATCACTCCAGTCTTCAGTGTCACATGATCCTTCAGAAACAATTTTAATATGCTGATTTGCTGCTCAAGAAACATTTCTCTCTGTCATCAGTGTTGAAAACATTTGTACTGATTAATTTTTGTTGAAATGGTGATACATTTTTTCAGGATTCGAAATAGAAAGTTAAAAGAACAGCATTTATTTGAAATAGAAATATTTATTAAAAATGTAAACATCTTTATGATCACGTTTGATCAACTTGCTGAATAAAACTATTAACTTGTTAAAAAAAAACAAAAAACAAACAAAAAAACATACTGACTGCAAACTTTTGAACAGTAATATATATTTTCCATACAACTAAAAGCTCCAAAAATGGTGGGGGTTGAGGGAATCAGTCATCTGATAGCTTTGTGCAAAGAAACTGATTTTTTCCCCTTTTTTATTGATTTTATACCTGAACCAATTTTTCACTGATTTTATTTTTCGTACATTTTGGAGCTCTGCAACCCCTGATCACTATGTACTGTATGTAAAATGTAAAGTGTGTGTGTTTTTGTTTTTTTTTTGGCAAATGTTTTGTTTTCTTTTTAAAGGAAAAAATATATGGGTTTTAACAAACATTAGTAATATAAATAATGACACTTACATTTCTAGGTGAACCTTTTTCTATAAGAAACGATAGCATTTTAATCTCACCCATTTTATCATGGCATTTAGCACACTTTCCTTTTCATCGGGTTCATCTGTCTTCACATTTGACCCTGTCAGCCCTGTAAACACACTGGGGCAAATGTAAGTGTGCCTGTACTTCTCTTGTGTGTAAATATTTAAGTCATAGCTGAGCGTTTGGATGTTAAATAGAGCGTTCGGGGAGCAGGGTTGAGGTAAGGGTCAAGGAGAGATTACGCTCACGGTCAGCCGTTTGAACTCGTCTCTGAAGCCGTTGATGAAGAGGGTGCCAAAACTCGATGATCCTCATGGAAGTGTCATGTAAGTGACTGATACTGTTTCCATTTGGAGTAGCGTGTCAGCTGAATATGGCATTACACAGTTTCCTAACCAGACACGATGCAAAGTGTCCAAAGTCAAGTAATATGTCCTTATTGAAAATGAAATGTTGTGTGAAGCATTAAAATTGCAGCCAGTCAGGTCTTAAAAGGAAAGGAAAGGACGTGACGTGTGGTCAAGTATGGTGTCCCATACTTGGAATTTGTGCTCTGT